CCTCCTCCTCCTCCTCCTCCTCCTCTTCCTCCTCTTCCACCTCCTCCTTCAGATCTTAACTTCCTTGGTATTTTTCAAAGGAGAGAAATGATCAATACATTTAATGGAATCACGGAAGGTGTAAGGGCGTATCTTGCTATTTACAGGTGTGACAGGGATATTCTTTGTTGTAGAGATTTTTTGTTTTTTTTTATAAATTGAATTTTGAATTTGCCCACGGGACGGCCTATCGGCCAACTCGACCACGATTTTCAACCATCAAGGTAACTTTAAACATACACAATGTGCACACAACATCTCCGAGGTTTTTTGTCCTTATCCGAGAAGACAAGGTAGCCTACTTGATCTTACCTACCTCAAAACCGAGTACTTGTCTTCTCAGTTTATTGTCTAAGCTGTTCCTGGGCGTATATCGGGACTTGATAACCCTGCAACGATGATCGCCCCAAGGTACATACAAAATACTTGAAAAGCAGCACAGAGTCAGGGTAACTAACTGTATTCTTATGTCTTTTGGCATGGGGTTTGCTTGCAGTCTCTGCCTCGCACTCGCATATTTATAATTGAAGCAGGCCCCGCCTGTTTAATTACCTCATCGTATTGAAAAGAGCTTTGAAGGCAGTGCACTTTACTTTTGTTGTTAGGGTTATAGTTTAAATTCTTTGGAAAAAAATGTCCATTGTAATGTTTTTGTAGCTTTTGTTGGTTTCTTTTATTTCTTGGCGGGAGGGGGGGGGGTTGTTTTGTTTTTTGGGTTGGGGCGCTCCATTAGTTGGTATCAGGCTGGCTACAGGACGGATGGCCCTGTTTCGAACCCATGACTGGGTGTTCTTCAATTTGGGTCGTTTTATGAGGTTTCCAACGTTCTCAACCCATTTGGCTCTATTCTATCGGAGACGGGGGTTAAATTTGGAGGTTCCCCCTCCAAGATAAGCTAACAGTGGTGATAAGGGCGTTAAATCCATACACTTACTTTACTTTTGGGGACTTTTCCTTTAAAGGGGTGGGGTATTTTGTTTTTGTTTTGTTTTTGCTTTTGTTTGTATTTTTGCATGCTTTACTTTTAGTTAGTTGAGGGGTGGGGGGGGGG